TATTGTTGGACATTTAGGTTGACTCTAATTTTTCAACATGTCTTTGAGATGGTTTCCCAAACCTTGAATTCCAGATAAAAGAGTAATGAATAGCTTTTGAGGCTTCTGATACAAATTGCTAACTTGCTTTCTGTTGAGAGGAAACCTCACTCACCAGGTAGAAGGAAAACCATTGAACCTTACCTCTATTGCCTAGGTCACAAAGCATGTTTGGATCGGTGATTCCTTCACAATGGAGGTAGACAGAGCAGGCACTGTAATCCCATCTAAAATGCATGGACTCACTGGCTGGTGGGAGCTCACTGGGACCAGGGAGGCTCCGTGACTTAGCCTGCATAACATAGCTATTTGGTGCCTGGGCTCAGGCTGGAACTCATGTTTCCTGAGTCCATGCTGTCTCTTGGATCCGATAAACAAGCACTTCTTTTAGGTTTAACAGCAGGCGTAGGCCTTCAGAATGCTTTGCTTCTTGGACATGAGCGTGTACGACGGACCTTCTAGGCAGCTCATCACCCCACAGTCTAGTCAAGCCAAGAGATTACCTTTGACCCCTGAAGGGAAAGTTATGGAAGGCTGGGTCACTGTGAAAAGGGTAGGCCTGTAAGCCGCTGTAATTAGAAAAGCAACTGCATAGTTCAGTGCTTTAGAGCATGGTCTTTAAATTAAAAAGCGAATAAGCAAAAACAGCCCCAGGGTCTGGTTCTACCACATTCTAGCTGAATAACTATTAACCTTTTTTTTTTTTTTTTTGAAGCATAACCAATGGACATGAGACACTGGGGGGTAGGGGAGGCCAGGGTATTGTCAAGGGCGGGGAAAAAAAAGACACATATGTAATACCCTTTGCAATACTTTAAGCAATAAAAAAAAAACCAAAAAACAGCCCCAGGGTCTGGTTCTACCACATTGTAGCTGAATAACTATTAACCTTTTTTTTTTTTTTTTTTTTTTTTTTTTTTTTTTTTGGTTTGTTTGTTTTTTTCTGAGAGTCTATTTTCTTGGTCATAATACATGGCTATTATAAGAGTATCTGCCTCTCAAGTTTGTTGTTGGAATCCACTGATATAATGATATAAAATCACTTAGCAGCATTAACACGTAGTAATGAGACAATAAATGTAAGCACTGCTACTATTATTAAGTAAATGGATAGAGCCCTGCTTTATTAATAATAAGAGGTGAGAGCTAATGCTGGCTGGGCTACACATGGCCTTGCAATTTTGCTTTATTCTGTCTGTACAATGGTAGAGAGAAGGGATAGAAACACGTGATCTCTTCAGATTCCCTTTATTCTTATATGAGGAAACTCTGAGTCTCTCACATTCTAAGATTCCATTTACTGTTAAAGAGTCGGTAAGTGCTTGTCTCAAGATTCTGTGAAATTAAGATTCTATAGTTCTGAGATCCTTTTTTCTGGGATTCCAAGATCCCATGACTCACTCAAAATTCCGTTGAAATATTTCATTTGCATGGAATGGAATCTTCTAAGCCCGTCAGAAGCTTGCCTGACTAGCTCTTACTATTCTTGTAGGTCTCTCCTTAAATAGCACTTCTTCAGAAATTCCTTCCTAATTCTTCCTCCAGTGCTCTTTACCCACCCCTTCCCTTGTCTCTGCTGGAATCCTAGCACAGTCCTTCTTGGTAATCAGAGATTGGTGTGATTTGGTTAATGCCTGTGTCTCCATTGCTTGGTAAAGTAGACTCTCAATAAATATTTGATGAATGATACATAAATGAATGCATGAATTCTATGAGTCAAAGATTCCTTGAGTGTTTATTCCCAAAGTCTACTATTCCAGACACTCCCCACCCCCCACCACCTGAGGACCTGACACCTGGGAGGGAGTGACCTGTGACCTTTCCAATTCCATGATGTTGCCTGGCCTGTTTGTGCTCCGCCCCCTCTCTCCCCACACCTCCATTATTTGCCTGTTTGGGAGCTCTTGCTCCTGAATTAGAGAAAAGCCTGGATACCAATTCGTTCATTCATTCAGCAAATGCTTGGCTAGTGCCCACAAAGTGCCAGGCCTGTGCTAAGGGACTGGGATAAAGGGTGAACAAAGCAGACCTAGTCCCAGCTTTCTCAGAGCTCACACCCTAGAGAGCCAGATATGGGCATTCATGACATAATCACAAACTTAAACCATGAACGTGCTGTGGGAGGGAGAAGAACAGGGTGCCCGGAGAGCTTACAACAGCACATGGTCTAGACCCAGGCCACCACACGGCGTCCTCCAGGGCCTTGAACTGGTCTTCATGTCCATTATCTGGACATTCTGCTTGTGAAACCTCTCCCTGGGGAACAATCAGCAAGAACTTGGGTTCAAAGTGGTGACAGGCTGAGCTCCCAGTACCCTTGAAAGTACTACATCCAGCCCTAACCGGTTTGGCTCAGTGGATAGAGCATTGGCCTGCAGACTGAAGGATCCCAGGTTCGAATCCGGTCAAGGGCATGTACCTTGGTTGCAAGCACATCCCCAGTAAGGGTGTGTGTGTGTGTGTGCAAAAGGCAGCTGATAGACGGTAAGACAGGCCTCACTGTAGGGCCCAAACCTCCCTCAGGGGCCCAAACTGCCCTCCCAGGACCCTGACTTACATCCGGGGCTCAGTCCTACATCCGGGTCCCAGACCGTCAGGCTGGGGCCAGAAGTCCATTCCGGAGCCCGTACCTGGTACCCAGTATCTAGTCCTTTATCTGGGTCCAGACATCCACAGTAGTCCAGACCACCATTCTGTGATCCAGAGGTTTAGTCCATGACCCAGACTTTCAATGGAAGCCCAGACCGCCCTCCAGTGCCCAGGCCTCTCTCCCATGACTCAAACCTACATTAGGGCATCAGACCTACATCCGGGTCTCTCACTGTCAGGGTGGGGCCCTGAAGTCCATCCCGGGGTCGGGACCTGGAACCCAGTATCTAGTTCTTAGTCTGGGTGCAGACATTCACAGTAGTCCAGACCACCATACCATGATACAGAGGTTTAGACAGTGAGCCAGTTTTCGGCCCAGGGCCCAGACTTCCTTCGGGGGCCCTAACTGCCCTCCTAGGACCCTGACCTACATCTGGGGCTTAGTCCTACATCCGGGTCTCTGTCTGTCAGGCCGGGGCCCAGAAGTCCATTCAGGGGCCCACACCTCGAACACAGTATCTAGTCCTTTATCTCGGTCCAGACATCCATAGTAGTCCAGATCACCATACCATGATACAGAGGTTTAGACAATGAGGGAGACCTCCCTCCAGGGCCCAGACCTCCCTCAGGGGCCCCAACTGCCCTCCCAGGACCCAGTCCTACACTGGGCATTCGACCTACATCAGCATCCTGGACCTTCATTGGAGGGCCCTGAAGGCTATTCTGGGTCCCGAGCCCCAAACACAGAATCCATTCTTGTATCAGGGGGTCAGAGCTTCATCCGTAGTCCAGACCACCAGTCCATAACCCAGATCCAGCCCACAGGCCAGACCTCCCTCCAGATACCAGACCTCCCTCCAGGGCCCTAACCACCTTCCCAGGGCTATGGCGTACATCCGGGTCTCAAACCTTCAGGCCAGGGCACAGAAGGCCATCCCGGGGCCAGTCCTCTAACCCGGTATCCAGTGCTTTATCCACAGTAGTCTGGATCACCATTCCCTGACCCAGAGGTCCAGCCTCTGACCCAGACCTCCTCTCTGCCCCGGACTGCCCTCCAGTGCCAAGACCTCCCTCCCTGGACCTATACTTCCATCCGGGGCTCAGACTTACATCCCTGTTTCTGACCTTCATGCTGGGAGCGGGCCTAAGCAGCAGTCTGGCCTCCCTCTGCGGGAGGCGACCGGGTAGATCAGGGGAAGGCGCCACCCCATCACCCTGCTGCTGCTGCCTGCCCTGGGCCCTTGCTACTTAGCGCTGGCCCTGCCCCTGACCACTGGTGGGTGGTGGGTGATCTGGGGCCAGGCCGGCTAGGGGAGGGGCTGTGGGAGGTTGAGGCACAGCATATCGCACCCTGTCCAGCCTCTGAGGAGGTGTGGCGACCAGGCCACGCCGCTGCCTCTGTGACTGCCTCTCCGAAAGGGGCAACACTGGGATTGAGACCGAGCAGCCCCCTCTCCAGCTGCCTCTGCGGAAGGAGCCAAGGCGCTGGACTGGCCCGGGCTGTGGCCTCTCCTGAGTTGCCGGCCCTCGGCCCTGGCAGACGCCGTGGCTTTGTCAGGAAGGACATCTGGAAGACGTCCGGTCCAATTAGCATGTTAGCCTTTTATTAGTATAGATTATTTACTTAAGTAAAGTTATTTTTTAGAAATACCAGTCTTTAGAGCAAGGTTAACAAACCTCTGTGGCAGAGGCACAGGCAGTAAAGATTTGGGCTCTGTGGGCCACATGTCACTGCCACTAATGCTCCATTCTGCTGTCGTGGGGCAAAAGCAGCCAGACAGTACGCGTGAGCGTGAGTGTGGCCATGTTCCAATACAACTTTATTTTTGGACACTGAGATTTGAATTTCCTATAATTTTCATGTGTCACCAATTTTTTTTAACCATTTAAAAATATTAAAACCATTCTTAGCTCACAGGCTATGCAAAAGCCAGCGGCCAACAGATGCGGCCCAGGGGCAGTCGCCAAGCCCTGCTTTAAGTCCAGTTCAAGCTCCACCTCCCTTCAATCCATTCTCACCTATTTTGTCCTCAAATCTTCCTGTCCTCTTCCTCCATGGCCCTCCCGTGACCTTCATGGCCCCCCCAGCTGCCTCCCAGCTCTGCCTGTCTGGCCTTGGGGACCCTCATCTCCTGGCGGCAGGACTGTTTTTTCCTGAGCAGGGCTCTGAATAGCTCCATTCACCTTGGCAAGGGGGAGCCCAGAGGAAGGAATTTTGTTTGGAGTCCTGGAGAAGCCAGGACTCGAGACTTCGATTTGCCTTTGAAATCAGGTCCCTTCCCCTCCCATTCCCAGGGGTCCCTTGCTACTACTTCCCCTGCTCACACCACACCAGCCCCAACAGTGTGTTCCCTGCAGCTCCTACGGCCACATCCGCTCCAGGTCGCTCACCATGGACCTCAGGACCCTCTGCTTCTTGTCCTGTTGCCTGTTCATCTGTGTCTTTTCAGGTATGGACCTCTCCTTCCTTCTCCGCCAATAACTTTGACTCCCCCAGGATGTCCTGAGACCCCTCCTGCCTCTTCTGTTCCCGGGAGTGCCCGTTCCAGCATGGGGCAGGGGAGTGAGGCTGGAACCCTGGTGTCAGGAGGCTGAGCTCTAGGCTCAGCTCCTCCACTCACTGTCTGTGCTACCTTGGCTGGGTCCTGCCATGCCTGGGACCTCAGCTTCTTCATCTGAGCCATGACAAGGATGGGCTGTGGGACCTTCCGGAGCCAACAGGCCTCTCTGATCTGAAAGTCAGGGGCTATCCGTTTAAGTCTAGTACTGACTTAGGTTCATGGGTGGTTCTAGCGTGTGGAGCTCTGAAATCTGACAGGACAAATCCTGGCTCCTCCGCTCGCTCACTGGCAAGATTTCATAAGACAGTCTCTAAGACTCAGTTTATTCAGGAGTAAAGTGGGGATAACAGTAATCTTAAAATTATAGAGCGGTTTTGAGGATTAAATGACATAATGTATATAAACGTTTGGCCTGGAGCCTCGCGTGTAAATACTCAACAAGTGGTAGCAATGTTATTTTAACTTTAAAGACCCCTGATCAAAGCTGGCCAATCCAAGATAATATAATTCTAAAAGTCGGAGTGATTGTTTCTAGGTTCTTCGACTCTAAGAGTCTATATATTTTGCTCACAAACAGCAGCAGTTGGAGGGCTCCATCAGGGGCACAGCCTGAAAGATTCTAGCCCAGAACCTAATAGAAGACAGATCCTCAGGGGAGGCGGAGGCCCCAGGGAGACTCTTCCTCCATCTCACCACTCCCAGCGTCCCCGGAGGAGTTGGGACTGGAATAACCTCTGCAAGAGAAGAGCTGGGTTTGGCACAGGATTTGGAGAGATGCTGTCATCCCAGACCTCCTCTTCCAGATGCTGTCTGGCCACTGGCAATCTCCCCACGTGGTGCTATCAGATGTTATGTAGGGAGCTTCCGATGGAAGGGAAGGGGCAGGCATCCTCCTGGTAACCAAGGAGCAGGTTAGCGAAGGGTTGGTGGTCGATATTGGAGGGTTATTTGAAGGAGGAGGAGTTGGGGGGGGCGGGTTCTGGAGGTGAGGTGATCTCAGACATTTAGAACAAGGGCACTGACAAGGCTCCTTGAAAGTCATCTACTAGTAGACGAGGTTTTATAAAGCTATACTCTAAGGAAGTCATTCTGTTGTCCCACTGCCTGCCTTGGGGTGGGAGAGAGAGCGGGGAAACTGGTTGAAAAGCTGGATGGGTGGGTTTCCAAACTCCACCCCCTTCTACCAGAACAACCCTATTATTATGCTTTATCGTTGGCCTTTCTTTTCTTCAATATATATATTGATTTTAGAGAGGAAGGGAGAGGGAGAGAGAGATAGAAACATCAATGATGAGAGAGAATCATTGATCGGCTGTCTCCTGCACGCTCCCTAATGGGGATCGAGCCCACAACCGGTCATGTGCTCTTGACTGGAATTGAATCCGCAGGCCGACGCTCTATGCACTGAGCCAAACCAGCTAGGGCTATCATTGGCCTTTCAATATTCCAAGAGAGGATTCTGCTATCTAGACTCTATCTATTGATTGGTTTGCTCTTAAACTTGAAAACCTCTGGTTTAGTCCAACCTCTTTGTTTTATAAATGCAAAAAAGGAGACCTAGACACAGGAAGATGAATAATACAACGTGGTAGCATCAGATAGAATCCCTGGGCAAACCATGGGACCCTCGTTTCCTCTTCTGCAGGCTTTGTGGGTGTTAGATAAGATAACGCACAGAGAGCACTCAGCACAGTGCCTAGGGGCCCAACAATTAGTTATGACTATTATCATCATCATCAGATGCTGAAATAAAACTTGACGTCTTCCTGCAGTTTGCCTAAGTGACCTGTTGCCTTGGCAAGCCCAGATGCTCCAAAGCTGTAGACATCGTGTGACGGCTCCCAGAGGGCCCCTCCCAACGTGGTCCCACAGCCCTCAGTCCTGGGATGTGCTTGCAGCCCCCTGTCATCAGGGCTTGTGGTGGGCCCTGTTGGGTCTGCCAGGACAGCTCCAGCTCTGGGAGCCACCCAAACCCAGCCTTCAGCTAGATATATTCTGGTTTAATATATGTAATACAGGCATACCTTGGAGTTATTGCACAGACCACCATAAATAAAGCGAGTACAGCAATACAGTGAGTGGTAATCTTCTTGCTGGTGAGGTTGTAAAGAAAACGCAACATCTGGGAAGCACAATAGAGTGAAGCGCCATGAACGAGGTACAGCCTAGTCCTGCAAGACAGGCGTTCTTGTTCTCATTTTCTAAATGAAGAAAGTGTGGCTCAGGGAAATCAAGTGACTTGGCCAAGGCCACACAGCTAGTTTGTAGCAGAACCAAGATGGAGAGCCCAGACCACTGGCTCTGAAGTCCGTGTTCCATCAGCCGGTCCAGGCTCACCATCCCTTCTCCGGAGTGGCCTAGGTACCGCCTCCGAGAATCTTCGCGTTTAGATGCCAGACTTCAGTGTTCTCGGTCACCTCGTTCTTATGTTGAGCCCAGCTGTTCTCTCTGAGGCTTTGTTTCTCAGCCTGTAAAAAGGAGTAAGAAATGCTCCCTGTGTGGCCTTTGGGGCCTATGGCTAAGATTAAACCAGGATGTGTGTGTGTGTGTGTGTGTAAAGCTGTAGACATCGTGTGACGGCTCCCAGCGTGGTCCCACAGCCCTCAGTCCTGGGATGTGCTTGCAGCCCCCTGTCATCAGGGCTTGTGGTGGGCCCTGTTGGGTCTGCCAGGACAGCCAGAGCTCTGGGAGCCACCCAAACCCAGCCCTCGGCTAGATATATTCTGGTTTAATATATATAATATAGGCATACCTTGGAGTTATGGCACATTCCATTCCCAACCACCATAAAAAAAGTGAGTATAGCAATACAGTGAGTGATAATCTTTTTGCTGGTGAGGTTGTAAAGAAAACGCAACATCTGGGAAGCACAATAGAGTGAAGCGCCATGAACGAGGTACAGCCTAGTCCTGCAAGACAGGCGTTCTTGTTCTCATTTTCTAAATGAAGAAAGTGTGGCTCAGGGAAATCAAGTGACTTGGCCAAGGCCACACAGCTAGTTTGTAGCAGAACCAAGATGGAGAGCCCAGACCACTGGCTCTGAAGTCCGTGTTCCATCAGCCGGTCCAGGCTCACCATCCCTTCTCCGGAGTGGCCTAGGTACCGCCTCCGAGAATCTTCGCGTTTAGATGCCAGACTTCAGTGTTCTCGGTCACCTCGTTCTTATGTTGAGCCCAGCTGTTCTCTCTGAGGCTTTGTTTCTCAGCCTGTAAAAAGGAGTAAGAAATGCTCCCTGTGTGGCCTTTGGGGCCTATGGCTAAGATTAAACCAGGATGTGTGTGTGTGTGTGTGTGTGTGTGTGTGTGTGTGTAGAGGGTGGGGGAGGAATTCTCTGTGAACTGTTGTTAAGCGCTCTTCCCAGGTAAGGGACTCAGAATAAAGCTCCCCCAAACTACCAGAACTTCTTAAAATTATTGAAACACCCTTTCCTTCTAAGGTTGGGCATGGCCCCCAGGATAGATGTCCCCATTAGGGACACCAGGGAGACCTTTTACCTTGTGAAACGATAGAAAAATTATATTTTGGTCTTTGCCCCCAGTGCCGGGCACAGAGCTCCCAAAACCCCTGCAGTTTTCTCAGTGATAAGAGCACAGGAGCGTCTTTTGTTCTAATACTTGGTCTTTGACCCGCCTCGATTCCTGACTCAGAGTTCCTGATTCTCCTGGAATTTCCTGTGTGTTAGGAGGATCTTTTGTCCTAATGAGGTGACTCTTGGAGGGCTGCTGGATAGTTTCAGGATGGGGCAGGCCACCAGAAAGACCAAAGAAGCTTGGAACGGTCAGCCCCACCCCCATCCTGTGGGAAGCGGAGAGGGGTGGAGATTGAGTTAATGATGGATGGCACCTGTGTGGGGAAGCCTCCAGAAATATCCCAAGAGGATGATGGGTGGGAGAACTTCTGGGCTCCTGAGTAGGTGGAGGGGCTGGGAGCGTGTGCACCTGAAGAGACCACGGAAGCCCTGCGCTCCTCCCACATAGCTGGCCCTGTGCGTCTCTCCAATCCGGGTGGTTATATGTATCCTTTTTCATTTCTTTTTATAATCAACTGGAAAACATGTTTGCCTGAGTCCTATGAGTCATTCTAGCAAATCGGACCCCAGGAGAGGAGTGTGGGACCCCCTATTTATAGCCTGTCAGTCAGAAGCACAGGTGACAACCTGGGACTTGAGACTGAGCTCTTAAGTGGGAGGGGAGGGCCAGGCTTGTGGGACTGAGTCCTTAACCTGCGGGGTCCTCTCTGTGTAGATAGTGTCCGAATTGATTTAAACTGTAGGACACCAGTGTGTCGCAGAGAATAATATGTACTTTGCAGTCATTAAGAGAATGAAATAAGAAAATGTAGATAGCCCTAACTGGTTTGGCTCAGTGGATAGAGCGTTGGCCTGTGGACTGAAGGGTCCCAGGTTCGATTCTGGTCAAGGGCATGTACCTTGGTTGCAGGCACATCCCCAGTAGGGGGTGTGCAGGAAGCAGCTGATCGATGTTTCTCTCTCATCGATGTTTCTAACTCTCTATCCCTCTCCAGCTATTGGTATTATTAAATACTGAGCTCCCCATCACTAGACAGATCCAAGTGCAGATTAAGCGACCTCTTTTGGAGCATGCTTAAGAAGGCGTTCAAATATTGGTGGCAAGTTGGAAAAGAAAATGTGTTAAGTTCCCTTGCATAGCCCACCAGCAGTTTCACTTCTAAAAAATTCATTCTCAAGAAGCAATCTGAGTAAAGGTGTATGTATAAGATGATTACTGCAGAATTGCTTATTTTGGATAAGAATGTAAAAACCCAAATACCCAACAATGAAAAAATAAATCATGAAATCCCTACCATGAAATCATATACAAGTCATTAAAAATGTTGGTGTACAGCCCTGGCTGGTGTGGCTCAATGATTTGGGTGCCATCTCATACACTGAAGGTTGCTGGTTCAATTCCCAGTTAGGCACATGCCCAAGTTTCAGGCTTGATCTCTGGGAGGGGGTGTGCAGGAGGCAGCCGATAGATGTTGCTCTCACATGGATGTTTCTCTTTCTCACTCTCAAAATCAATAAAAAAATTTTTTTAAAAATGTTGGTGTACCTGTGTTTGCCATGGAATAGTAATCAAAACATATCACTAAGTGAGAATTCAGATTAAAGATATGTATTATATTATTCCATTTTATCTTTAACAAGTTAGTTGTTTAAAATATTTGCATTTAAATAGCCTTGGGGAAACGTGCTTCAAATATTCATGGTGCTTATCTCTGGATGGTGAGTTTGGGGGCAAATTTAATATTTTTTTTGGTTTGTCTGTATTTTATATTTTTCCCCTAAAGAGGGACAATGACTTGTGTACAAGGTCCTAATAGAACTCTGAGATCAGTCAACTCTTGGGGTGAGGAAAGGACAGAACTGGAGGCGAATGGTGAAGGCCGGTGACCCCAGACCCACCCTGTCTTCCTGCAGCTGAAATCCAGGAGCCTGGCAGAGCTCCAAAGGCTCAGAACAAGGACGGCAAAGCAACCAGCCCTGGGGGGGTGAAGCCCTCAGGAGCCTCCGGCAGGAGAAAACCCAAGTCAGAGCGGAGACAGCAGCCCCTGCAGAAGAAGACTCCTGTGGAGGCTGCAGCTCCCAGCGCCCCGGCCCCCTCCATCCTGACCCAGGTGTTGGGGAGGGGCCACTTCCAGAAGGTGGGGGACTCTCTGAGCCTGCGGGCTGGGGAGCCCCTGGAGCTGCGCTGCCGGGGAAAGGTGGTCCGCTGGAGGGTGCCTGTGTACCTGGAAGAGGAGGGTGAGGGCCGCCTCAGGTATGGGGAGGAGGAACTCCTGCCACAGCCTGAATGGGTCCAGGGTGGCTCGGAGGAAGCTGGGCAGCGGCTTATAAGCACTTACACCGTTTTCATAGTGATTAAGATGGACCCACACTGGGCATCCCATTCTGTACAACTGCAGGCACCTAAAGGAAACAGTAAGATGGGCTCGCAAGACCCATCAGAGGTAGAGTGGCTTCACAGAATGGACACGTGGCTTCCCACAATTCTGGGAAGTCAGTTCTGGGGGCAGCAAATAGGGCCCGTAGGGAGGAAGGTGGCAGAGGCAAAGCAAAAGAGGCCGACAGTCCAGCTGGCGGCCACCCTTCTGTCAGGGGCACCGCCTCGGGAAGCCAGAAAGAGAGACAAAGTTGGCCCCACCAGCACTGCCCACTCCAGTCCGGAAGAAAACCAGGCGGAGGCTGGGATATAGAACTGGGTTCAGAAGGTTTGCCTGCTGTTTCTCAGTTTAGTTTCTTAACATGAGATCTCCGGGGACTCTGCCTCCTTTAGCAGGTGGAGGCGCGTAGAGGGCAATTGCTGCCCTGAACCAAGGGCCAGAGGAAAGCCAAGGAGCGCAGAGGTGTTTGGGGGATCCCGCTTGCCCTGTGTGGGCATGGTCAGCGGGGAATAGATGATCCAATGAGAAGTTGCGTGTGGGATAGGCGAGCCAATCAGAAACGGTGGGTGGGGCCAATACAAACCGGGCCAGCTCCATTGGGGAAGGGGAGCTGGCTGGTTGAGCGATGAAAGTTGGGGAGGAGGACTGTCAACCAACCCAATGCTGCCACTAAGTGTCCCAAGCCACCCCCTCTCCTGCCCCCACCGACGGTCTTTCAGAATCAAGCACTTCAGCCAGCACAGCCGGTTACAGCTGGTGAACTCCACGGGCGCGGACACCGGGGAGTACAGCTGCTGGGCTCGAGACTGCCAGGATGCCGCCTGCACGGAGGGCGAGGACCGCCAGGGGAAGACCTTCATCTTCTTCACAGGTGCCCTGGAGTAGGGTCTCCAAGCACCGCGGTCCCAGAAAACCCTCCAAACATAACTGTCTAAGTCTTTCCCCTTCGTCCCACCTGTACAGTGAGGGAATACGCGAGTGGTCTCCAAGATCCTACCTGTGACGATCTGGGGCTCCATGGCTAATTCCATGGGGAACTGAGGAGCCCTACTTTGTCCCACCAAGGAAACAGATGACGCCCCTAGAATCCGCTGAGTTTCCCTTACTCAAATCCAACCGTAGCAGTAATGATTACCCAACCCAGAGGTCCTTGACCCTGACTCGGTGTCACCCGGAAACACCTTAAAAAACACAGGTTTCTGGGCGCCATGCCCATTAAGGCTGGATGAAGTCTGGTGCTCTGGAATGCCAACATTGGGAAGATTTGGGAACCAGCAGTCAGTGCTCCCCAAGTCTGGTTGCCCACTAGGGTCACCTGTGGAACTTTAAACCACCTGATTCTCTCCCCTGCCCCCAGCAAGGTGCTGATTTACTTGGTCTGGGGGTGGTGCCCAGGACTTGTTTATTTTAAAATCACTTCAGGTGATTCTGATGTCCAGCCAAAGTTAACCATTGCATTTGCCTCACCCTAGAGCGGTTTCATCCAATACAGATCCCACTAAATCGATGTGGCTATTTAAATCTAAATTAATGAACATGAAATAAAGTTTAAAGTTCAGCTCCTCAGTTGCACGAGCTACATTTGAAATGTCCGTGGCTAGTGGTGACATAGGACAGCACGGATACAGAACATTTCCATCCTGACGGAAAGTTCTATTGGACAGCACTGCTCTAGAAAGCTGGTCCCCAGGTAATTCCTACTCATTGCACCATTGTGCACCCAAGAATCTGGCCTGAGGCTATGTTGCTAAAGGTACCTTGAAAGAGTTTGATGAATGTGTGCCTCTCACAGGCCCGGTGCCTCATATCCAGTATCCCATTTGCTTCTTATCAGCTCTGCAAAGTAGGCCATAATCGCTCCTACTTGACATGTAAGAAGAACCAAGGCTCAGAGGAAGAAAGTGATTTGCTTAAGATCCCACAGTGAGAGGGTGGCAGGACTGGGAATCCAACCAGAAACTTAACTGCAAGTTCAATACTTCCTGTAATACTTTCCACATAGAAGGACCCTTAGAGACCAAGCCATCTGAACCCCACATTGTACAAATGAAGACACTAAAGACCAGAGAGGGATTTAAGATGCACAGCCAGCTAATGACAAAAGCTTGAACCAGCAGGCTGGTCTTCAGCTCCCAGTCCAGAACCCCTTACCAGTGAGGAAAGAACATGGAGAATAGAGAAGGGCAGGGAAAGTGGGATTTCAAATCCTCTCAAGGGACTTATGCTCATGAGTGATGGTAGAGCATCAGGAAACAACACATCGGTCCTAAGCTCATTCTTCTCTCTCCCTCCTTCCTTCCCAGACCCAGAAGAACTCTTTGTCCCCACAGAGAATTATTATGAGGTGATACAGTTACGCAGTCATCAACCAGTCCTGCTTCCCTGCCAGGTGACCAACCCCCTGGCCCAGGTGACGCTGCATCGAGAGTTCCCCCCAGAGGAGGTCCCAGTGGATGGGACGGACATCTCCTTTGATGTGAAGAAGGGCTTCACCATCCACCGGCCCCGAGCTTCCTTGGCTGGCTCCCTCTTCTGCTTGGCCAGCCTACGAGGCATGAGACAAATCTCTACCAAGTACATGCTGATCTACATCAACTGTGCGTGAGCCTAGGTCTCTGGGTGGGCAGGGCAGGGCAGGGCAGGGCAGGGCAGGGCGTAGCAGGGGAGGATATGGGAGGGATGCCTCCTTTGGGAACCTCAGGTTTGGAATCTGTGGATTAGCTCTAAACCACCAACCACCTTTTCACAACACTCCGTGTATTCAACCATCTTGTCCAGAAATAGCCAGGCAATCAGCTATTGAGCTAGCCTGCATCCGTTCAGCCTTTCTGTCCACCGACTTATTCTTAATCAAGTCACATTATTCCATTCACCCATCCTCCCTTCAATCAACCATTCCATTCACCCATCGTCCATCAGATTAACTGTTCCATCTCCTACTCATCCTCTATCAATTCATTACAACCATTCACACATCCTCTATCAACTCAACCACCTCAACCATTCATCCTCTATCAATTTAACCATTTCACCCATCCATTCAATCATTGAAACAATCAATTCAACATGTTTGTCCCCATTTCTCCCATCTTCTCCATGGCAGACCCATCATCGTCCCCAAAACCCACCATCCAAGCTTCAACAACATCGGTCCTACTGGGAGAGAACTTCAGTGTGACCTGCACGGTTCTGAGTGAGCCAGAGATTGCTGTGGACTTCCGTTGGGAATATCCGGGGCAGAAGGTAAGCAGAGGATGAAAATATGTGTGTATGTGGTGGTGGTGGTGTGTTGGGGCAGGAGTGTGGGAGTGAAGGATTTGGATGAGGGCCAGGAGTGATCACAGTAGAGTGGAACCCCTGCTTGACTAGGAACCTGATGAACAGGGATCCTAGTCCCAACTCTGACACTACTTCTTTGAGTGACCTTGGGCAAATCACTTCCCTTTTCTGGGCCTGTGTGTCCTCATCTATCAAATAGAGCTACTTCTCAGGTTAATGTATAAAAATGTATAATGTGCTCCTTCGTTAATTTATCCAACAATAATTATTGAGCACCCACCACAAGCCAGACACTGTACTGGGTACTGTGACTATGATGCTGAGCCAATAAGAGAGGGCTTCTGCTCTCTGCGAGCTCACAGTTTAAACGGGAAGGGGCAGTGAACAAACGTCATCATCTGGAGAAGAGTAGGAGCTACATCAAGGATGAAATGGGAAGGTGACCAGGTGTATTTAAGATAGAGCAGTCAGGATGTCTTCTCTGAGGTGACATTCAAGCTGAGGCCCAACCAGCCCATATCACTTAAAAATGGGAATTGAGCAGTGTCTTGCTTCTGTCTGTTTTGTATACTTTCATGTTCTTGTTTCTGATAGAGGGGCTCCTTTTAACATTTCTTTGCCTGGGAAAGCTTTAATTTCTCCTTCATATCTAAAGGATAGAATCCTTGGCTGATGGTTCCCATCTTTCACTATTTTCAATATTTCCTTCCATTCCCTCCTGTCTTGTAATGCTTCTCTTGATAAAATTGGATGATAATCAAATGGGGTTTCCATTGTAGGTTATAGTCTTACTAGAGGCCTGATGCACAAAATTCGTGCAAGAGTAGGCTTTCCTTCCCCCGGCTGCTGGCACCGGCTTCCCTCTGGCACCTGGGACCCGGGCTTCCCTCACAGCCCTGGCTTCACCCAGAAGGACGTCCGGTCTAATTAGATATTACGCTTTTATTATTATAGTTTCCCTGGCTGCCTTGAGAATTCTTTTGTCACTAATTTTTGACAACTTAAATACAGGGTGTCTTAGAGAAGATCTTTTTGTGTTGGTATAATTATATGTTCAATTAGCTCCCTCAATTTTAAATTCTAGTTCTTTCCATAGGTTGGGAAGTTCTCATCAATTATTTTATTGAACAGGCTTCTCTTTCTTCTATTACATGTATTATTCTTAGGTTGCTCTTCCTAATGTGATCAGTTCTTGTAGGGTGCTTTCATTTTAAAAAAACAAAAACCCTCTCTTCTTCCTCCTGGGTTATTCCTAGATTCTATCTTCAAGCTTACTAATTCTCTCTTCCATCTGATCTGCTCTATTTCCAATGCTCTCTAATACATTCCTCATCTCATTTATTGAGTTATTCAACTCCAGAATTTGCTTGGTTCTTTTTTGTAGTTTCAATCTGTTTGGTAAAGTACTCCTTTTTATTAATTTTATTCCTGAGCTCATACAACTGCCTTTCTGAGTTTTCTTGGATACCATTGAGTTTCCTTGTCACTACAATCTTGAATTCTCCGTCATTTAAGTCACAGTCTTCCATGACTTTGAATTTGGAGACTCTTCATTTTCTTTCTGTGCATGTTACCTTGGTTGTTCATGGGATTTGATGGATTGCTTCTCTGTCTGCACATCTGAGGCAGTGAACGCTTGTTCAGATACTGTTCTGCTCTCACCTCAGCACGTTAATAGGTAGGTACTTTCTTTTGTTTCCCTGTAGATGGTGGTATAGCACCAGTTTTTGTGTTCTCTTACCTGCACCATTAGCACCTCTGGGCTAGTGGTGGAGTAGCATCATTAAGGTTGAGGAAAATGCTGCAAACCCACTGGGATTCCCCTCTGTGACCAGCTCGCCTCCGTTACATGACATGACCATTGAAGTGAGGGATGTGGTGGGTGGTGGAGAACGGCTTTTATGAGCTTCCA